GAGACTGGCGAGAGTTAAAATTAATTTTGAAAGATTTTGTAAACTGTTAGAGCCTTAGGCTGGTAAACTGATTTGGTTAGATTGCGGTTGAGTTTCAGTTTCCTCGGCTACTGAATGTGTCACAACCAAATAACAATGTGAAACTGACAATGAGCTGCCGGCAGAAAATCACGAAAACCACTTGGACATAGAATAAGGGAGAAAGTTAGACCAGAAATACTTTAACTGCAAATGTTAAAACGTTTGCGGAAAGAAAAAAACAAAATATGCAGAGCATGTAAATAAACTAAAGGTTGAAATAAATATATTGTCTTACAAACATAGTTGACTATGAGATCATGGCGTGACGTTATGATGTTTCCTTTTCCATTTCAAAAATCATTGATCATTTTTAGAAGAGTTACTTTTTGCTTTCCGTCGTCTTGGGACTTTGAACTCCGTTCCTTATAATGTTGAATCCGCTCGCGTTAGATTGAGCCATTCCCGACCCTGGTTGTAACAACAGTCAGTTTTAAAATAATTTGGTCATTACCTTTGACTCAGGCGGTAAGGCAAGTTACTTACCGGCATTTTAAGTGAGCATTCTGTTCATGAGAGCAACCGTTTTTTTTTATTGTAATAATGAATCACTGCACAAGTTTCTAAGACATACCACTTCCTGAGCGCGTGAGTTAGAAGTCACTTTTACAAGTCACAATTTCCCTATGATTTCCCCGTCTATAAATCAAATTAATAGGGAAAAACAAGATTCGGTGGCTTAGATAATGAAGCGAATAGACAAGGGTTGGCTAAATATTCGTTACATTTCTATTATGTGTCATGTGAGTGTGGGAAATTATTTCTAGTCACGCCAAACGGCTTCACATGAATGACAAACGACGAAAGCAAAACAAGGCAATTCGAAATCGCTGTTCAGTCGTTAGTACGTTTGAATAAACTGTTTAAAGCAAAAAAAAAAAGCTCCCAAAAAATTTCCGAAAAACTACCATGAAATGACAAACACGTAAAAGAAATAGCTTTGAATTTTCGCGCGCAGCTCAGTCAAATGAGGCTGTGGAAAGACAATTAGGTTGTAGAATAGTTTATGGTCACAGACAGTGACACTCAAATGAGGAAATTTATATTTTTCAAACGAAGGTATACGGTATGTCTTAGATTTTGGCTGGATTCTTGATTTTAGTACTTTCTTTGATACAAACCGTTTATATTTTAACTGGTAATTCCGCCGAGAATGTCAAAAATAAATGGTGTTCGTCCGGCTCTTTGACCCTTTTCTGAATAGGTATCGCGCGCCAACCCAATAGTCCCTTATGGTTTTACATTGTTTGTACACCGTCCGGGTACTTCGATGCAAAGTTGCGACGTGATTTACTTGTTTCATTATGTGTTGCATCATCTTTTAATGGCGCATGCTTTTGCCGTTTCGTCAAGTATTTTAAAATTGGACAAATTTAATCTCTTGGTATCTGCTTTGTAGTCAATGTTCGATCTTGTAACACAATGCTTTCTGTCGTCACGAGTACGAAACTAGATTGAGGGGACTGCGTTCGTTGGACATCATCAGTCTAATGATAGATGCAACAACCCGGCAATAACACAATATTCATTCTAAATTGGTGTTCTCCTAGCTGTCTGATTTTCATTAAAAACAAAGAAAAAAGTACTCTGTATTAATTGTCTTATTTTGGAACTCTGAGGCCACTTTCGAAAATAATCTTATTTTAAACGACATACCAGATAAAAGGGAAAGAAATAGAATCTCGGCCAGAGTTGTATTCTATCTCATTTTCGATCCAATCTTCTTCAAATAACGGTACATTAAGCTCAAATTTAATCACAATAATTTTCCTGCGTCACTGTGTAACTTTTAACCCTTATCTTTTTAAGTCTAACAAATTTGAAAATTATGCAGTGGCAGAGTACTGGATTTCACTTTCCTAAACGCGTCCTAGAAACCGCACGATTGCCCAGAGATACCCCCGAGAAAAATCCCCGTATCCTCGTAGAACTTGAGTCATAATTTATTTATTTATACAAAAAGAGAATGCGATGGAACGTTTGCAAGTCAGTCGTGCACTTTGGCTCATTGCCTAATTAACATTCCCTAGAATGAAAACACAACGTGACGATNAACGCTCGAAACGTCAGCTTTTGTAATCGTTACGATGGCCAATTTACCACTTCAACTTTGTTGATATATCCAAACGGCTGTGTCAGTTATTCTTTTAAAATTTAAGCCTGCTTTTAATCATTATTAGCCAAACTGCATAAAATTACCTCCTGCCTGTGGGGTCTTTTAACAAGGTCATGTTTGATTAACTTTCTCACAAGAATAGGAATGAAGTAGTAGGAGGTCCATAATAAAACGTGGAACCTAAATATTAATTTACGCCGATTAGTTTTTCTCAAATTCATATTTTCGCCTATTTCATTGTTTCCTCTTTATTGATTAGACACGCCAGTCAGTTTTACGGAGATAATTTTTTCAGTTTCAAGAAATTATTCACGGGTGTAAATATTTGTGAAAACTTTAAGAATGAAATGTATATCACCCACCAATAGAATGAAATAAACAGAAAATACGAGACCGAATAATGGCGTCGTGGATAGCTTGTTGCTATCATGGAGATAATTTAGAGAGAACAAAGAAAGGCTTTAAAGATTTACAGGTCTGCTGCACTTTCCAATTAAGCAGCAGCATTCAAAATTGTCCATATTGTAACCAATTATACTCCTTAGCTGATATTTTTCTTCAGGTCCGTGATTTCGAATGTAGTTACTCTAATTTCATTATGATCTGGCAGAACATTTTCCACAGATCTCATTAAAGACGGAGCTCCACAAAATAGAGATCACTCCTCTTTTTTTTCGATGATAAGAAATTAAGATATTTTTCCTGAATCTCATTCATTGTTTAGTGAAAGCAAAAGTTTTTCTCGAGAAAGGCAACGAAGCTTACGAACAAGAAAAGGATTACACATGCGCAGTCCATTTTTACACGCAAGGCATTCACGTGGAGTGCAAAGATACCCGACTTATCGCCAGACTATACAGCAACAGGGCAGCAGCTCATTTCCATCTGGGTAAGAATGTTTTTCCTAAATCATTTTTGCTTTCAATTAGGATCTTATGACTGTGTCTCATCGACACTTTGTCTCCATGACCACATTAACGTATACAGTTCGGTGACAAGGATCACTTTACTAGTTTTTACTGCATCTTACAAATGGCTGTTTTGTGAACTGAGCAATCAATTTTGTATCATTTCGATTTCCAAGGTCACTGTTTGAATCTGAAGAATTTGGGTCCTTGTTTTAGAATAGTAATTATATATAGTAACTAAAATGCTGTCGGAATCCTCCCATATGTAAGAGAGATGGCTGGTCAAGACCCACAGCTGGAAAATCAAGGCTTCTTCTTTAATCAATAAGAGGAAAAAGATAGATTGATTAGAAATATCTCAGCCCAAAAAGCTCCATAGAGGAGAGTTTGAACAAAAATCATTATTCTTGCAGTTCAAAAATTTCGTGCCACCTTTCGAAGAGAACAACATCATTGCAAGCTCTACCCTTTGTAGATTAATATAGGACGGGTAGAGGCGTTGGAAATTGAATATTTATACGGGCTGCTTTGTGAGCTAGCGGTCGACTCTCTCTTTGTAATATTTTTTACATTAAACAACGACTTGAATTTCAATTTTTTCTAAGGAAATTACCGAGAAACACTGGCAGATGCAAAGCTTGCTCTTCTACTGGAGCCAACACTCATAAAAGCTATAGAACGGGGTAGGTTTTTTTCCTAGCTAGTGGCGAGTTGTGTTACTTTAGCTCATGGCATGGTATACTCCCTGTCTAAATGGGCGTATATCCCAGACATCCCCAGACCTTGCTGGAGATTAGAAAGGATAAGAATTTTAGAAAAAAAAGCTATCTCCGAGAGGCGTGCCGCGTGCCGGTACCTGCATGAAATCTGTTGGTTAAATCCATGGAATGCTACACGAGCGAATCAAATCAAGGACTCACAAAGCTTTCTCCCAATAAGCATTTTCTCTAGCACTGGAAAAAGCCAGGCTCTATGGTCGGGTCTTTCCTTATGTTGATGCAGCATTTCTCAGTTAGTTCCCGCATAGTCTTTCCGGAATTCAACGGGAGACTGGGGCGGAACTTAACTCGCGAAGCACCCTGGGGCTGTTTTTGAAGACGCGAGCCAAAGTGATAAAGAAAAACAAGGGGAAATTCTCGTGCTGTGTGCCTCGTTGCACAAATAATTGGCGTAATTCCCCAGATTTGAAGTTCCATTCACATCCTCAAGATCCTAAAGTGCTCTCTNTCTACCTCTTCCATTTTCATATTGCAATCTCGGCAATGCTTATAATGGATTAGGACAATTTCAAACAGCCATCGAGTATCATGAACTTTCTCTAAACATCGACAAAGAAGTGGGAAACAAAGCTGGAGAAGGTAAAAATTATGGAAATCTCGGCAATGTTTATGATGGATTAGGACTATTTCAAACAGCCATCAAGTATCATGAACTTTCTCTAAACATCGTAAAAGAAGTGGGAGACAAAGATGGAGAAGGTAAAAGTTATTGCAATCTCGGCAATGCTTATGATGGATTAGGACAATTTAAAACAGCCATCGAGTATCATGAACTTTCTCTAAACATCGACAAAGAAGTGGGAAACAAAGCTGGAGAAGGTAAAAGTTATTGCAGTCTCGGCAATGCTTATCAAGGATTACGACAATTTCAAACAGCCATCGAGTATTATGAACTTGCTCTGAACATCGCAAAAGAAGTGGGAAGCAAAGCTGGAGAAGGTATGATTAACTGCAATCTTGGCTTATCAAATTTGTGTTTAGGATACTCTGAAACAGCTGTCGAGTACTTTGTACGCGCTTCAAATATTACAAAAGAAGTGGGAGATAAATTTTCAGCAGCTAAATCATTACATGGTCTTGGTGCAAGCCTGTATACCAGAGGAAATCTCCATGAGACGTTCAATTGCTTTCACTCTAGTTTACATAAGCTTCACGAGATCAGAGCGGGTTTTCAATCTAAAGAGGAGTGGACGATTAGCTTCCGTAATTCGAATGTAGATGTGTATACTTCACTGTCGCAGCTACACCTAGAACTGGATGAAGTGGTTCCTGCTCTTCACATCGCTGAACAAGGTCGTGCAGAAGCTCTGAGAAATCTCCTGGAATTAAAATATGGGTATGAAGAACAATACCAGTCATCATCTCCACAGAAATCTGCCAGTCTCCCCCTAAGTTGCCTCCTACCAAATACAATCTTTACAGCCGTTTACAATGGAAGTATTTTCTACTGGGTTATTCAGAATGGCAAAGAAGTGACATTGAGAGAAAAACCAATTAATAATTATATTTCGAAGGAGGAGGTAACCATTTTCATCGAGACTGTTCTCGGAAAACTTGGAATAAAAGTTAAAGTCAAAGATGAAGACCGTTCGTACCTTGAGGCGTGTGATAAAAGAGGCAAAAACGATTTTCTTTTCAGTAATCCTTCTCAGGAAGATATA